CTCATCGCGAGTAGGTCGGTTCGAAGGCGTACCCAAGAGCCGCGGCTGTGCGGACTCCTCGGATCTTCGATCCTCCGGGATTTTCTTTTTCTTCGTCTCAGTTAAGCTTTAGGTGAAGAAAGCCTCGAGAATCAACCACTCAGCCCGTCTGCCTGGCTGCTCACCGGCTGCTCGGTTAGACAACGAACTAACCAAGCAATTAAGCAGTCTCGCATACACAAAAGCAGACCCACAGAAAAACGGAGTGACGCTCCCCTCTGTTTTCGGATAAGGAAGTCTGCCCCGTCCGCTATCTGCTCGAGGCGAGCTCTTCTTGATTATCTCACCTTCATTCTTGCGGAGCTCTCGCGGCTCTCAGTGTTCCTTCCGAGGAATTCAGGCTGTTGGACATTGACTATGAGCAATCATGGAGGGGATTCGACGGCACTTGACCGGTACCGAGTTGGGAGAAGTTGAGGAATTCAAAGGAAAAAGAAGGGGAGCGCAACCTGAGCTGAGTTTTCCGATGAATCCCAGCGTAACCTTTACATTCCTAGTATTTTCTCCTGTATCGTCAGCGTTTCCCTTATTTTGCTCGTGGTTGCACCTAGGTATATTCAGTCCGGGGCTCTCACCCGCGGATTCACTCGCTGACGGTGTTGGTCATGGAAACCTCCTGGACGCAGACAAACAGCTCCTGGACAATCGACGGAGCGCTAGAGAGGCGTTCGGCCTTATTTCGAGCAGTCGGGCTTTGTCTCGTCATGGCGTGAACCCATCTCTTCCTCAAAACGATCCATTCTTTGTTTGCATTCGCAGACAAAAGTTCAGGAAGACACTATGTGCGTGGTCAGTGACGGAACGCGCCAAATCACGCCACGATTTCGCAGTTTGTACTTCGAGCCACGGAAGGAGGAGGATGTTCCGCGTTCTCTGGCTGCGCTGCAGCTTTTGACTGGGTGGCAGGTCTACAGGCGAGACACGTTTTCTCTTTTAAAATAAGCATTAGTGTGTCTCTCTTTGCGAGGTTGCCGTAACCCGGCGGCCGGTCGGCAGCCGAGCTACCTACCTATCCACCTACCGAGTCTCCGGAGATCACTAAAAACCTTTAGGCTTTTAAGTCGTATGAGCTCAGTACCAAATACCAAAGCGAATACCGAGCTTCCCCGAGCACGGTAACATTTCTGAGCCCGCTCCGCGGGAGCCCTCCCTGCTTGCAGCGTACAAGAATTTATTTATCACAAGTGCTCACACATATACATGAGACATGAAGGATCTCCCGTCGTCGTCAAGGGCTACGAAAGCCGATTCGCGAGTCGGCGCAGCCATTCGGATTGATGGTTGATTATTTCAAGTGCGAGAGGCTCGAGAACTCAAGTCCTAGGTATAGACGAGGGCAAAGGATCATTTGCAAAGCTGACTCGCTTCACCCGGGTGAGGTTATCAAATGAAACACACAGTCGTGCGCCTTCCCAGGGGTCGCAAGCGAGAAATCTCACTCGAATCGGTCTGGATCAGCTCCGATAGTGATGCACTATTAATGCCTCGCAGACTCAGGAGTCGGGGCTGCTGCTGCTGCTATATCTGTGCCACCCACATTTGTTTGCACTGTTTTCCCGGTCGAGTTTGTCGGGACAATTTGTGAGGAGTAGACAGCGAGCTCAGTTAATACGCTACGATAGGTTCCTCTCTCCGAGGCTAATGAATAAAAGTGCGAAGAAATCACAGCATCCTGGAGTAGTCGAAGATTTGCAACTGTGTAACTGCTCCAGTCCATATGTCCCTCATGAATCGTTGTCATAGCTATCCAGCGTGCTTCGAAGGATGAAATCTTATGCTACCGACCAATGGCCAAGCTGACAATGTTTGTGAGCGAATGTTTGTAACCAGAGCTGGACGGATGAAATACCACATCCGTACGATTCTCGCTTCAGACGGAAATGGTAACGCGTGAACGCGTCTTTTGATATTGAAGCGCCATCCGATATGGCTCCCTTTCTTTTACGCAACTTTGAATGAAAAGTGTTTCATGTTTCTTCCCGTGGAGCTCGAGTTCGGTCAAGCGTCGTATTCATCCTCCGAACATTCAGCTACATTCAGATCTTCACAATGTAGAGCTGATGGAATGCACCGCCATCCTCACCCCACCCCACTCCACCTGCTTCCAACCGCGAAAAAAACATGTAAGCCCTCCCTTTGAGAGTTTCACAGCGACAAGGTGTAAGAGGTGAACTCAGGCTGCCGGTACGACAGTCTTCGGGAAATACTGCATTGAATGTATCTTCCCTGCCGCTAAAAGTGATTTCATCGAGTCCGCGATGGGTAACGAGGATCTGTCTCCGATTAGCGTCGTGCAGCGTGATAGATATCAACGACTGGTCGAGAGGAAATCGTCCACGGAACAGAATTAGGTAAGCGCACATCCCGAGCTATGTTTCGCGGAGGGAATCGGGAAGAAGGGAGACGAGTGGAATTTCCGAATGCTTATTTTAATTCCGAGCCCTATTTGTCGCTAGACAGACGGCAGTCGTCTGAGCAGGGGTCGTGACTCCGGGCGGCGGGAAGCCTCTGATGAAATGACTTGGCGTGCACCTCCCCCATAGATCATTGCGGTGCTATTTTTCCTTATAAATCGCTAACATCTCCCCACTGTCCGTGGCTGTGGGCGATGTGGAGTCGACCGCGCGCTGTGATTATATAAAAGTCGCTTACGCCCAACCCAGCAGAGCCACATATTCGCGAAGTGCCGCTGTCGAATGTTCCCAAGCGGCTTCTGCGAGAATTCACCCCAAATGCCTACCGATAGATAGACGACGCTACAAGAGAGAGCAGACTCTCAGTTTCTCTAAAGGAAAATACTTTTGTTCTGTTTCGAAATAAACATCGATTTCGTCTATGGATTTATTAATTTATAACGATCCGTCCCAATGCATTGAGTTTTCCGCTAGACTATCTCGTCTCTTCCCGTATCTCGGAATTCGCAGAGATCTGTTCTGCCTAGTCGGTGTGTCCCCTCAGTCAGTGTCTCCTGAGGGGTCTCAGCTCCGAGACGAGTATTGCTCACAGGTTCCCGGGAGTCCGAGGTGTGACTCACCACTTATCGACAACGAGGAGAAGAGCACAAACTCCTCAACGAGTTGAAATTCTACCTTCGTTCGTCTGTTTTCGATCAGCGGGACTTGTGTCATCAGTGTCGAGCATCCCTCGGAAATTCTATCGGAATAAAACAAGTCCTTTAACAATAAAAGAACAAGTCCTTCTTGTACCACTGATGATTCGCCGCTTCGATGGATTGTCGGAATTCCGATGAGAAGTGAAATCGAGTCTGTACATTTACATTAGAAATTCGAACTTAGATCCTGCTTCTGTCCCTGCCAAATCTCAACGAGCTCGCTTCGGATTCGGGAAGCTTGTCTTGGTTCCAAAGAGACTTCCACAACGAAAAATAGGGTCCTGCAGAGTGGCGGTACAGAATCTCTGAGCTCACCGTCTGGATCCTACGTCGGAAGCGGTTGGATGACCCTCGAGGCAGATGGATCAACGTCTCGTGGCGGTCGTCTTCAAGTCAGAGAAATAAGGCAAGTTGTTGATAAACATGTACAGAGCTAAATAGCTTGGATCGCCTCCGCCTTGCCGGTGCCATTTCATCGATGTTATCTTGTAGCATCTCGATCGGCGATCTCTCTCGTAGGACACGAACGACCTCAACTCCGGATGTCTGTCGTCACCGCTACGCTCCATAATCAGAGGCGGAAAAGTTCGTCTTACAACTAATTATTATTTCTCTGATCCTCATGGCTCCCGACATGCGTATCCCTCCTTCCTCAGAACATCTTTTATATTACACTCGTCGGCCACCCGAGCAGGGATACGCTGGATACGATTCCTGGCCGGGAATCGCCCCGCCGACCCATTCCTGACCTGCCATACCGCCTCATTCCTATAAATACTCGCTCTGAACTCATCAGAATGAGTCTTGCCATGGATTTCATTTCTGAATAGTGATTTCAACGCACATATATAATATATATATACTGTAAGAATGTAAAACTTCACAGGATGATAACCTAGTACCGCGCGAGTTCCGTCGACGCCCTGGAGTTACAGTACCAAAGACAGTTTGAGTTGAGCTGGGTATCTGCTTCCTCCGGACTTCCGTGATAGTAGGAATTCTTCTCCATTTGTCCCAAGTTCGAAATTTCCTACCTAAGTACCGTATTTAATGTTTATGTACACCTCCGGGACCAACGTGTCGATAACCTCACTTGCTCCATGATCTCGCTTCCAAAAATCAAATGGCACACCACGTTGTCGGCTCAAAACTTGTGCTCCGTTCGTCACACTGTAAACCGACGACACCAGCAGCGAGCAATCTCGTGCGAGGTTCATGGAGACGACATCACTTACTGGACCCCGTCCGTCAGTCTGATCCTCTGTCGGTGAGTCGGTCGGTCAGCCTGTCGCTTCGTCCGCTCGTCCGTGGCCTCTCACTAGCCGCGAAATTCCCTGCTGCTGCTGCTGTTGGGTGTTCTGATGAAAAGGGCCATCATCGTCTACTTCCTGTTGAGTTTCCGCCACTTCCCGACCGTCTAGCTCCCTGGATCGCCGATTCGGCGGCACGGTGGCCGTCCGGCTACTCCGACGGGAGGAGTTCAGTAACGATATCACAGACCGACGACGATGCCGCTTGAGTTCCAACTCCCATCGCCAGTTGGCTTAAATTTGGCGTTGATCGGAGGGGAAGCATTACAATGCATCTGATAGAATATGCATCATTTGTCGAAGGAAGCAAGCCCACAGGATCAAGTGGGCGTTCGTCGACGCTGCAAGGAACACGAAACGGTGACAGCACGCTCCTGAAAGCGTGCACGCTCGCTGCCCCTCTTTCCGTCAGGCACCAAAGTCCACCATTCCGATACAATTTGGATATCTACCATCGATGCTGGACTAATGCATTGATTCCGATCCTGACACAGAATGACTACGGTTCTGGGGGAATGGGAATACAGGGTACGACTTACGTCTGAGCCATGAAGTACCAGCTGACTTCAGATGAAGCCCGGAGACATATTTGTTGGCCTCGTAGGCAAACGCATCGCTGCTTTGAGTGACTTCTCTCGAAATCGTGGCGGTGCATTTCAGTTTGAGTTCATCGTTGGGGAAATGGTTTGGCTGAAGGCGGATTCTGAGGTTCAAGATGCTGCCTCCTGAGCGAGGGATAGAATAGGAGAGAAATTAGGAAATCCTATGAGCGGCCCCATCTGATGAGTTTCCTTTCACTGCAAGCTGCTTTCACTCACCGTTGAACTTCCTCAAGTTTTCCGGACGAGCTTCCTTATCGTTGATGTACCATTGGAGCGTGACTATCTTGTCGACTTCTCCTAACGTGCAGTTGAGATTGGCCTCGTCGCCCACGTCGTAGCGATCTTTCGGAGCGTGGATCATCGGCGTGACGCGGGGTTCTCCTGCAGATTCTGCGAGAGTTACGGAATATTGGCCCTCTAACATATCGTCGTATACGTCTTTTACTAAACGGGAGGGTGCGGGCTGCTTATGTCGAATTAGCTCTAAATCCAAAGCTCCGCCAGATATCGTCGGGTCGCGCGTAAGCCCAGCAGAAGAAGTAGATGGGGGCATGCGAGGAACAAACGAGAAACGAAGCGAGCGACGATCGCGAGCCCCACGACAACAACCGTGAGAAGCTCCCTTCGGCGTCGCGAATTCTTGCGGGTAGAAAACTATGGCTCTTGCCCTCCCATTCAAACGTTGCTAACCTGTCGGTCGATCTCTCTTGTTGGTTGTCCTCTTCGGCAGGTAGCGGTCCCCCATCACTAGCTCCTCCGAGAATCGGCCCTCGGTTTGAAGCGTGTATGCCATGCACCTGGAAAGCGTTTGCGTCAGATCGCCAGGAAAAGACGTCCTCATCATGAGCCAGGGTTCGCGAGGCTGTAAGGACTCACTTGAGCTCAAGGCGGCCTCGTGCGACGTCGGTTTGCCTCACGGTGAACTGTATGTTAGAGCTCATGGACTGCAACCCGTTGTCGTGACGCATCGCTCCCGAATGTAATATTTGGTGCAATCCGGAAGGCTGCCAAAAATAATTTTTTTGATCTCCAACCTGTTTCTGCTTACTCGACGACAGATATGAAAACATCGAGCTTCTGCCTTGACGATTTTCGCCGATGTAATCTCACGATCCTTCGGTCGTAGCCCAAACCGTTCGATGCTCCAGGAATCTCAGAGGTAGACTGCTCGCTTCGCTCGGCGCAGGAGCTTTCCGCTATTTTCGACGCTCCCGTAGGAGCTGTCGTCTACTCACCGTTTGATTATTGATGAACCAACGCAACATCGCTCGCGGTCTGGAGGGTCTTGAGTAACACGTGGCGTTGACAACGTCGCCGACGTGGTAACTATTTGACAAGCCCTGTATGACGGGTCCTTCCTCGGGGAGCACTGTACCACGAAAAACAGCGTCTGAGCTCAAGATGTGCTTCTAAAGCTCTCATTCTCATGGCGGCTTCCGCTCATTAGCGAATAATATTCGCTCCAGAATGGCGTTTACGCCGGCAACCAAAATTTTGACAATTCTCCGTCACAAGGACTGCAACAGAAGAGCTGCGAGTGCCAGTTCTTCGACAAGTCCCGGGCGCAGCGATTCTGACAAGAGATTCCGCCGGCGGTGATAATTCCCACCCAACGGGAGCTATACGCGCTCATCCGACGGCTCCCTTTCCGGTCAACGTACTTACGAATAATATTTTCTGACATTGGAGACTCACCGTAAATCCGCATTTCCTTCTCTCCGCGAACGGTCTGGTATGCGGGACCTTCGGTCGAGACCTCGCAGCCATAAACGCCTTCGGAGTTTATGTCGGTGCGCGCTAAATACACTGTATTCTTCGTCGACCTCGTGGGCTACGGAGGAAAGAAACGGACACGGTTAGCGGGAGCGTCAAGCTCTCGGCTCACGTCGCGACGCGTCGCCAAGGAAGTGTAACTTTTCGGCGTCGAACGACTCCTCGACGAATCTGCGGATGAGGAACGCGAGACGAGTGTGGCTCATCGGGAACCAAGGACCCCTGGGCGCGTCACCATCCGGTGCCCTCCAAATGTGGGGCAGATCACGGTAACGTTTAAATGTCACTTGGCCATGTGAGTCATTATCGATAGAATACGAACATAGCTTCATCTGATACATCGACGGCCGGTTTCATTACAGCGACAACATTGCTCCACCTACGCTCTGACTGTTCACGGTTCCCGAAGGCGAAGCAGCTCTACCACTGGATAATAATGGGGATAAAGGAAGGGGCGCTTGCGTCTACGTGGAGTGACGTGGCCGGACGACCCGGTCGCTGGGGTACAATAAAGTTAACATTTTGAAATACACAGAAGGCTTCATTTGAAGCCGGGCGTCGTTCGTTATTGCCTTAAACTTCGTGATGTTCCGACAAATTGCCGTTCGCCCACCACGCCAACTGTGGGCTCGTCGTTCACTGATCGAGCTGCTTCCAGACGATAGAGCCCGCCACTCAAAGTTCGCAGAGCCTTGCTCTCCAAGTTCGACTCGAACAATTCAGCGGACGAGTTTTGCTCTCGCCGAGTAGTACCCACCGCGCATTTTCCGTACGGACGATCGAGTCGATGCCGAAAGACTCGCGATTCCAGATCCAAGCTTTCTCGTCAGACGAGCATTGCAGAGAGATGATTCAGAATCGTATCCGGGGATCAAGATTCCAGGTAGGCGATACCAGCACTAGATTTCCCCCCCAGGATCAGAATGGTCCGCTGGATCTGCCTTCATTGACAGGGTTTCGCGGGACGTTTCCAAAACTCATCTAAATAGATACGCATTCGAATTCACGGCGTTTATGTAATTCTGCTGGGCGGGAGCTTCGGAATGATTCAGAACGGCGCTCCACAGAGACCGTCGCGAACTTTGATCCTCAGGGGGTCGAGGGTCCAGTCGGCGGGCGGGCGGGCGGGCTGGGTGACCGCCAGGTTGACAGCGTATTATGATTCGACGAATACCGCTCACTATTGCCCCAGCCGCTGCCTGACGTGCAATTATCCCTTGACTTGCTGCACACGTTCTCGAGCGTGTTTGAAATACTTTGCGAACAGAAGAGGGCACCAGTTCCGCTTTCGCTAGCTCTTGCCTCGATACTATGTACATTGGGGAGGATGAGAGTGGTGCAATGCTTCGAAGGTAAGCGAGCCAAGGCTCAAGAGAGCAGCCGTGGCTTCGGAGTATTCAAAAACTCCCACGCTCCGAGTGATTTTACTTCCGAATCACCTCATCTTGATCCGATGAGGTATTCTTCTTCCCCCCTCATCAACGAGGATGGGGAAAAGAGTCCAAGGGAGACTTTTTCGAATCATGAGAATTCAGGGACGTTTCGTTATCTCTGGCGCCGTCAAAAGATCAGCAGCTGATTTTCTCGAGGTCGGCAGGTCTCTCTTCTCCTTGTCTGATCTAGAACCCTAATTCATCCAGATCATGCCGGAAATTCCTCTGTCAGAGGTGAGGAGCATGCTTTCGGAACTCGCCCATAAGTCATGACTAATGACCGAATTCATACCACCTACAGATGGCGGCATACCGAGTCGAATTGTTGCTCTTATCAATCATCCAGAAGGTGCTGGAATTTCGAGACGGAGCCGGCAGCAGCGGACTCTGAGCAGCACTGATTCGCTGTGACGTCCCGACAACATGTATCCATTGCTCTCGTCCTCGTTAGTCGAGCCGGAGGATAATAAGCTTCATGAATAATGCAATACGAGTAAGCGCGACCAGTTGGTTCAGTGAGTGCAAGCGGCCACCAGCTCATGACTGTCGACACCGTCCCTGGCGTCGGGCGGGAGCATTATCCCGGTGATGATGATGATTATAATAATCATCATCGTCGTGATCGTCGCAGTCGTCCATGTGGCTCGAAAGCAGTCCGCGTGAGAGATGAAAGAGTCAAATTCATGAAGTTGATCGCAAAGAGCGCGAAGGGGATCAAGCGTGCAGCATCAATCTTGACCAGCTGCCGTCTACCATTAGACTGAGCCTCATTGCTCTTTTACAGTGGAGAGCTGCTCGGAAGAAGTCGGAGGCACCAGCCGCGGCAGGGACATACATTGTCTCAAATGGCTTCTTAATATGAAAAAGATGATCTTTATCGGGGGCATGGGACGACGCAGGAGGGCGTCGTGGATGAAGATCCACCTGACCCTGCGTCGGTCCGATCTAGCTTCCCGGGTCTCCTCCTTAGCCGCTCGGCTTCCCAATACTCTGGTACGAAAATCTGGCGCGCGAGCAAATGCGCGCTCGACGGGCGGGCGTTCGGACGGTCGGTCGGCTGGCCGAGGGCAAGGGCGGGCTGGCGGAGGACGGGGCGTGCGGGGCGAGCCCGGGGGCAGAGGGTGTGTCGTATTGTCCGTCACGTGCTGGGTGGAGTTCCCACATTCAAAAATAAGCTACTGAAGGGCCCTGGGGAGTCTCTAGGGGACTACGCGCACAGCCACCAACGATCGAGCTGGCAGCCCACTCAGCCCCTGTATGAGAGAAGACCAACCCGCGCTCCTGAGAGAAGCAGTTCGAGGGGCAGAAACTGACTGGATAGCTCGGGAGACCGTCACAACTACAGCGGTGAGCTAATAAATTCATTAAAATAAGAGAAGAAAAGCTTGACAACATACGACCAAAGACACGGTTCGAGCACTAGTAAAGGAATGAGGGCGTGTTCTCCATCATCTGGAGGAGGGAGAGAAAATAGTGACGAGTCTCTCAAATTCTCGCCTGCTCAGTGTCAGCAGATGCCAACGCGCCGTCCGCGGAATCGGCTTTCTCGTCAGCTCATTAAATGAGACCAATATTCGCACCGTAGAGTTTTTCTCTATCTCAACACGATCATGATGGAGGTCTGCTCTCCCCTGATCGTAGCCCTTCACCACTACCCTCGCCTTCTGAGGTTTTTGCCTCAGTCTAAACATAGACCCAATGGATAACGGGAGATTAGCGCATGGATTCAGGAATCGAGGACGCTATTACTGATTGACGAAGCAGAGGTCACGACAAGGCCGAACATCGGTTTGACGAGAAAGAAGACATGCACCGCAGGGATGGGAACAGCAACGGCACCATCACCTGCAAGGCCAGAGATCCCAAACAAAGAACGGACGAAATGAAGGGGACCGGAAAATTTTTAAGTAAACGTGAGGCGGCCAGTTCTCTCTCTGTCATCCCTTGATCCTGAATCCTACGCGGCTCGTTGTCTGTGTCGCTGGCGATAATGATTACAGTCACTGTCGACGGCAGATGAAAAGACGAAAGAAGAAATAATTTACGAACAACCATCCATGCCCCGAGCGTCACCAACGGCGCCGGGTGGGGACACCGGCTCCGCCGACAGCATGAGCCGCGGTCGTCCGAGATCACAGCGTGCAGCTTAGAGGATTTCTCCAAGACGAACAAAACGCAATTGAGCTGCTGCTGCTGGAGAACTACCTCAAGAATCTATCGAGCCCACCGCTGAGCTCCATATCCTCCCGGTGCCCTCCCTCGACAACCCGACGCCGGAATTATCGGCCGATTGCAAGCTTTCCCCATGCAAATATGCGGGGTTTCCAAGTAGGCATCTGACAGTGTCAACTGGAGTAACGGCTAGAATAACAAGAGAGGTGTGTCTCGATTTTTCTGGAATCGGAGCGATGGTCCGACGACTGCTAGTTCGCGATGGTAGTCGCATGTCCGGAATCTCTCCCTTCTATTGCGTCGGTGAGCCTTGCGTTACGACACGTTGGCTCAAATATTCAAGCATATTCTCTCGGGTACTCACGTCAACAAACATTCCCGGCAGTTCATACACCTGTCCCGGCATAGGATCTGACGGGAGATATCTGAAGAATTCGATGTTATTCTTGTACCATTTCACTGAGTACAGGGTTTCGCTGTCGAGGTCATATTCGCACAGGAGTCGCACGGCGTCCCCGCTCTGAACGGATCCTGGCACGTGTAGAGCTGTCAATTTCAATCCTGAAAGAGGAGAAGGTCAACTCATGAGAGAAATATCTGGGAGCGGCGGCCTCGCGATGAGGATCGAAGCTCCGATCGCACGTGTATACTGCCTCGATTAGAAGACTTCTCCAGGAAGTCTCTTATCTTATGGCCTTGAGAATATCAGTTCGAGAGTTTCCATCGATGAGAATGACGTGACCTAGCGAATGTCTTCTCGGGAACTCTGCCCGATGTACGACGATGAGACGAATTCACAGCATCTCTCTCGACTCTAGATTACCACCCAGACGTCGCAGAGCTCGTTGAAGAAAGAAAAATGAGAAAACGTTTCGTTGAGCCGCGTCTTGGGAGCTCCTCTTTTGCAGACGGTGTTGTCTCCTGTCATTGTCAAGAGAAGCTCGTGCGTTCGCGTGTGTTCGTCGAGAGACTACAACAGTACAAAAAGATCCTGAGTGAAGCATAGACTGACTCGGCGATCGTGCTGAGCCCCTCGAAATTCGCAATGCCCGCATGATGTGCGAGAGAACGACATCGTATTTCAGGTGTTGTTCTACTGCGTCGACTTTTTGCCGAACGCTCCATCAGCCCTTGATCGGCGAGCTACTCGATGACGAAGGCGGTCTAAAGTCGTCGGTCTACCTTCTCCGCTGTAGGGCGTACAGCAGACGAACGTGCAGGCGAACGAGCGGCTCTTAAACAATGTTTCCTTATTAGCCTCGGTCACGCCAGTATGTGCGCCTACCCTTCGAACTTCATCTGCACGAATTAAATATGTTCGACGAACAGCAAATGGAACGAGCGAGCCAATCCGGTCGTCTTTGATATTTTGAGAAAATTCCCTTAAGCTCAGTCGGTTTCGTCTTTGGAGGAAAGTCTGTGATACCAAGCTAATATGACGTCCATGCCCCCCACCACAATCTCGGGATTCCGGAAGATCGATTCGCCGTTGTTAAGAAGTTACCTTAATCGTCGATAATACGAATATTTCCAATTATTGGAAGTAGGCGCCGAGAGGATACAAGACACAATTTCGTGAACAAGCCTGATGGAGACCCCCGGTGTAGGATGTGTGCATTCACCACATCGTTTTGGGATCCGGCAGCTCCTATTAAAAGCAGTCGTAGTTATCTTTTGAGTCAACAGTGACTCCGCCCTCACCACCCTGGATCCGGCACCTGCCCTACTACCTTTGTTCTCTTGTCCGTCGCCGCTTCTAATATACAGCACGGCCACCCCCACCGCAGCCACAATGAGCCAGAGACAGCGGGATCGCTGACCAGCGATTCCGACCACCCCCGACGGAAAGACATGGCGGGCGAGCCGCTGCTTGGACTGGCACCCACCCCACCTGGCTGGGTGGCGCCTCTGCCAGGAGTGCGGTGTTTCTCTTCATCAAACAAGTTGTACACTTTCTCTTTTTGATGGCACATTAGAGAGTGCTTGCCAATGAAATGATGATCGCCTGTACCGTGCGCTGGTGATCAGAGAATGCACCCGGCTCTCTGGACAGAAACCAAGAGCTCGTTCATTGTGCTGCAATCATTCGGAACAAGGCTGACGTCCCGAAGCCATTCGACCCAAAGCGTGCAATGACTGTAAGAATAATGGCAGTGATCCGATATTCTGGTGACTCACTTCATCAATATGGGTTGGAACCCGAGCTCCCTCGAGCCTATTTATTCCCTGTCCCATATATGAAGCTCCAGAAGCCTGTGATGATCTGGCCTGGAAGACTTGCTGTCCTCGCTGTCAGGCTCAAGTTCTCCGGCTGTGTGTCATTGAATCCATCCGCGAGACTTCTGAGCAGCATCAGAATCTCCACGCACTTGAGCTCGTCTCGTTGACACCCCGCGCGAGAGATCCGCAGCTGGGCTCTCACGACGCGGGACGAGAATCGCCAACGATGGAAACGCAGCGATTTTGAAAGCTCGCTACGAGACTCAATGCTCATTCGGGATCAGGTCTTGGCGTAACAAGAGAAAAAATGAGGCACCGACATAATCGAATTAGCTCTCGATTTGCGTTGTCGATGGCCATCGTACGCAAATAGATGTGATTCGTGTTCCACAACAGTCGAACGACTACCGAAACCTACTTTGGGCGTGGTTTCCATGGCGTGATTGAGGGCTCTCCTTTGACTCTGACCACGACATTCTCGGCCCCGTTCTCCGCGGGCACTCACACACCAAGAGAGACTGCGCTCCATCCATCTACTTATCGAGACGATACGCCGGAATGCCGCGAGACTGTCACACTGTCTAGCCAACGGACATCTATGCCCGATGATTGCGGGGTTCGATTATCCTCCGCAGGGGTCTGTCGCCGCGAAGAGGAATGACCGTCGACTGACGTAAACGTTCTGAGGCTGAGGAATTTCGAGAATCACCAGACAAATTCAGCGATCCTGCGGATCGATAGTCTCTGTCGTGGGATCGGGAACCGGATATCTTCAATAACATTGGCGGATCTTGAATCTAGCGGCTTATCTCAGTCGTAGGATTCGACGTTACCCGATGCAAGCAAAAGTTGTCGAACTCAAGGATCGACCCAAGCCGCATCGGGTCTCCTCTCCATACTTATCGACAAGGACTCGGCATCTCCTTGCTTGTCTCAGGACATCGGGAAGGAAGCGAAACGACTCTCGAAGAACATCAAACCCAAACATCAAATCAATGTCGTGCCCTAATCGTCTGGCGATTATTTTTTAACGGAATCGCGCTTCGGGGTAGAAATGGACCCGATGTGATGACGGTTCTCATCCGCCACAGCGGTCAAGTGGTCTACGGAGTGCACTAACTCGGAACAATGGAGCGCTTTAGAGCTCCCCGCGGACTTCAACTCAGTGGCCACAAGTCTCGAAGGTCCTGCAGTGGATACGAAACGGGGCACCGAGTGCGTGCAAACTCCGACTGCCGACTTTCTGAACGAATGGGATTCGAGAACGATTTTTTTTCCAGCCGGTGAGTGAGACGCCCCATGTCTTTCTAGCTTTCATCGACAAGACATGTCATGCAGAAAGACATGATTTCCCTCTGTCGACATGTGTCATGTTGTTCTTGAGCATGTCTGATTTATCGACTATTCCGCCGAGTCCTTCCCTTTATGGTCTAGTCTAGGGGACGAATCCCCCCTCCAAAATGCCGCCGATCGAGGACGAACGAGAGAAATCTAGAACTTCGGTGTCAACTGTTTCGATTCGGCACTGATTTTCTTTCCGGGAGTCAAATAAATGGCCTCGTCTGATATATCTCTCGCTCTCCGAATGTGTTCGGCTTACCGTTTATCCGAGCCGCTTGCGCGGCCAAGAGGACCGCGATAAGAGCAGAGCTAGTCCATGGCGTCGAACAAGTTCCGGAAGGCATGTTGACGCTGAGATTTATCCACGTGGGTAGTTGCTTGTTGACAGCGGAACGCACAAATTTCAGCGACACGAGTCACAATTCTCACTTTTGAACACCGTCCGGCGGCACCTCTCGGAAATCAGCAAGGCGGGTCTGTTTCGGAAAACGCACGTGCTGCTCCTTTCAACCAAGAGAGGATGGCCCCGTTTTCCGGTAGCCACCAAATATCGTTGACGTAGGCAGGTCTCGTTCGGCTCGATTCAACACGGTCTCCACACGCACACCGAAGGGTCTGAAGCCCATTGGCCTCAAAACATGACGGGAAAACCAAGTCCCGCCTCCAGGAGAGGGGCCTGAAGGAGAACCGCCCGTTCGGAGGGAGAAGGTAACGCAAGGACGTCCACTATAAAGGTGAGCAATGAGATCTCACGAATTTTCGGTGTTGAACGTTATCGAGAGCGCTTCCCTGAAGCCTAATATTTGTAGAGAAGCTGTTGCTCCGAAAAATCTGCAAACATGATGCTGATCGTGACGTCGCTCGACTGGCTAGCGACATGAGGAGGCTATCGAGGAACTCGATGGGAACGAATCCCCTACGCAGTATCGATTCTCCTCGAGCTTGCAAGTCTCTCGTGATTCTATGCTATCGACTCACTCTAATCCAAGTGGATTCCGACAGTCTGACCAGCCAACTCCTAATCATCAGCATTCAAGAAGGATGCGAAGACTCCGTTGCACTCGGAAGAGCTGATTGTGGATACGGAGAGCGATGCGGTAAATGAGTCCCCGGTCGGACAATAACGGGATCCTTCTGCTGCTACTCCCGATTCCCTGTTGGAGTATTCACGACGAATGACGGAAGGGGCTCCCTCGCCGCGTCATTGGAGCGCGGAGTGGAGTCGGGCTCAAGCGTCAGATCATTTTCCTCAGAAGAGCTCTCGCACGATCGATACCCGAGCAGAGGGCATGGTCTCTGTCACTCGCAGTATGGAAGCAGCTCTGAAGTCGAGCAGATGAGGAGCTATTCCTACCTCAGCTCTGCTCATCTCCGATATCATGACGTCAATGATGGAGCCCTATTGAACTGGTCCACAGAAGGAGCTCTCTGAACGCAGATTCGCAGGACCTCGAGCGCACTTCGAAGGGGCCGGAATTTGTTATATATGTATGTTGCTTGCTCTTGCAAAGAGCTGTCAATCATGATTCATTCAAGATATATTTATCAAGTTTCCAAGTAGATTGACTGGATGCCTATGTCTGCGTTGCTTCCCTGAGGCAGAGTCACAGAACTCGTCGAATGAGTTCTCACCGTGGCGCCTCGCTCACTGCTCAGAATTATGATGCATGTCCAAGATCGTGATACCGTTATTGCTCGTTTGTCACGCATGAAGAAGAGCTGTCATCCTTAGTACGTAGAGCGGAGCCCTCACTCGAATTTATGTTCTTACCTTCCTATGCAGTTACTAGTCTTACAGGATCCCGATAGCCGAGAAGCATCAACCGACTCCCATAGTGTTATTTTGGTTTGTCCCCATGTTTATCGTGGACATCGATGGACTTCTTGGATCACAAACGTTGTTCCTTCCATTGGAGTCACCGAGCGGCATCATCCACTGCATACCTAAGTTCTTGGTTCGACTCTCCATCTTCAGATGACGCGACTCTCCACTCCAAGCGGCGGCTTCTGTATTAAAACTTGAACGACGAAGGTCACCCATCTGCGTTCGCGAGAGTCATGATTTCCTGTCGACACTAGGATCGCTGAGGGACCATTTTGTATTCACCTATACTGCGATCGAGAGTTCCTCAGGCCATGCTTCACTGTGAGTGATAATTGACGGATTCCGGCTTCACCATGCTTGGAGTCTGGATCCAGGAGCTTCGGAGCGCCCCCGCCCCCTTCCGATCCTATTCCTCTAGTAATTTAAAGCTGAAATCTATTCCCTGCATATTCTCGGACGAACTCTCTCTCATAGATCCCATCATTCTCGGCGTCTCCCGCGATCGACGCTTGAACCCCTCTCGGGGAAGCACTGTCTTGAGCCTTCCTCAAACATTCTGGGGGGGATAAGGCAGATCTTCCTCCGATTTCTCGGATGTTTCTCAAACCGATGCACCTTTGAGCCTTCTACGAGCTCACCGATTGCGAGATGAACGAAATGAGTCGAGTCGAGTGAGACCTCCTGGTTGAACAAGGTATCTATACCGACTGAGAATCTCCTGCAGCTCGAGGAAGTCTTCTGTCAAAATAGACTACCTAAGTCCCGCTGCTCGCCTGAAACGTATTCAGGACACATTGAACGGATCTGAAAGTACCTACAACATCGATTGCTGCGAATACGAATTATCAAGGAGTCCGGATTTACAGAGAGTCGAGATCAGAGAAAAGACCGAGAAGCCGAATCTGCGAGCCGCCATTAGCTCCCCCTACGTATGTTTTTCCGGACTCGAAAAGTCTGCCGCCGATATGGGGTCTCGTTCCGCGACTGGCTGAGACTCATCGGAATCTCAATCTTCAGGGGACCTCCCGATCGGCCAACCATGGGACACTGGGCGAATCCTCCGAAAGGGACCTCATTGATCATTATCTGAGCGATCGAATTCGGATTCCGCTGCTCTCGAGCCTTGGAGATCCTGCCATGCTATTTCTTTGATACCGATAAGGATATTTGCGGCAACTCGATGAAATGAAGTAGCTGAAGGGTTGAGCGAGACAGAAAAGAGGCTACAAGAGGCGCAGCAAAGGAGATTGTGTTCCGTCATACGTATGTGTATGTACATCCATGAAGATAGTCGGATTTCCATGGGACAACGGATCTTCAGCCAGGGAACGTCGCTTCATACTCGAGACAGATTCGAGGCTTCTCGCACAATTTATCGGAGAGCCGCGCGTTTGGGGAGGATCCTTCACCCTCCTTGTTCTCCCTGTGCCGCTATCATCTGTGATGACCGAAACTCTGAGTCTTCCGCACCAGACAGAAAAGGCGAGAAACATTTTTTAAAATTAACATTGTTTATTGTCTCTTATCGTCCATCCTTACACCATGCATCCTTCCATTTCCTTCCGTATTCTTTCCCCGGGAGTTGTGTCATGTTCATTTCCGATCAGTTCTCGCGAGATGATGATTCTCGTCGACATGGAATTTCTGAGCTGCGGTTCCTTCCCTTCTCGCTCCTCATCCTTTTATCACTCAATGACTTAGAAATTGCAAACGTCTGGTCTGTATATCCTAGATAGGCTCATTCACTTCGATGAGGACGAGGTGCTCTGAGTGAGTCCGTGAAACCTTCGCGTCGCTTTATCCGTTCCAATTTTACGAATTGCATTCACAAAACACGTGGGGAAATTCTTGAGTTCAACAGCTTTTCCGGTAGTCTTTCTCTCTACACTCGTGACAGCGACTCGAATTTTAGGTCAATCCTTCCTTCTGATCCAATTTCTCTCAGTCTCTCATACGTTCAAACCATTATCGCAGACGAGGGAACTAAATGGGAGGAATATTCGCAAATTATATAAAACCTACTACGATCCTTAAATACATAACTAAGAGATTACAGAAGGGAAAAGATCCAAAGTAGCTCCTACACGTTCTACTTGGCAAAATCTGCTCCTTCGACTCTCAGCGAAATTCCGATCCGCATCCAGGGAACTCACACTGCACTGGGCACAACTGATGAAATCCATGCTCCATCTCTATCGGCTGCTGATAGGTTGTCCACAAAAAATGGACGCGAAACTGGAGTCATGATCTCTCATTTTAAAGCTTCCTCTTTCATTGGGAGTGGGCGTCGCAATGCGACCATTCAAAGCTTGTGTCAATAGGGACAAATTGCACTGAACCCGACCGCGCAGAAGGAATATTGCACCAAAAAGCTGTCTATAAGCCCGCGCTCTCGGAATCCGTCCTACAAGAATCATCGAGGTTCTTCCCATGATGCTCGCATAATTTCGATTTCGCAGACGTGGAGTTCGCCGAGGGAGATCTTTATCGCATGAGGAGGCGAGACTCGGTGCCCCAGCTCGAAGCTTCTTTTGCAGCGACCGGGCCTTCCTCCGGGGATCTCGACCTGATTTGAGACCGTAAACTCGAATTCTACATTTATTCCCCACGTCACGTTTCGCTCAATATCCAGTCTCGCTCACCGATGTCCTAATCCGTTTCTGAAACTCGTCTCGTCTTGGTCATGGGGAGTCCTCCGTCCTCCTCTTCGGATCGACTGTTCTGTCCTTCATCACCGGATTTCTACAATCAATCAAACGGTTCCAAGGAGCCTGCTTTCCGAAGGCATGACCGTATCTTCGACTCGCCAACCGAGCCATTTCAATCAGAGGAACTATCTCAGCACATGGAGTGCTGCCGATAGATTTCCGATGGTTCCGAATCACCTTTGAGTGGATCGGTTCGCAATCACTGATCATGGGAGGAGCCAGGCCAGAATTCGCACGAGATTCCGGGCTAGCAGAAAGAGTATTGGCCAAGAAAATCTCACCGGCTGTCAAGCGTGATGAATCGATTCACCACTATATCGGTCAGACCCGCCCTCAGATATCTCCTATGAGAGTTGTCATGTTGTGAAGAAGAGCATCGTGGTGAGGTGATACACTCCGTTCTCCGTACTTTACCCTCGACAGAATATCTAGGAAGTGTTGAGAGCTTTCTCTGAATAAATCCGACTCCATGTTCCGCAAACCCCTTGAATCAGTCGGCGCGGTCGTCCCTTTTCTTGCTCACAGTGGACAGCGGTCGGATTATTGTCACATTGCTGAAGATGCAATCGCTCTCTTCATGATTAAATATTTGCTAGTAGTCCATTCTATTTCAACAAAACAACGCATTAAACTCAACCAATATAAACTCAATAACCTGATTCTGCTGGATGGTTTCCATTGCGATGTTGGAGCTACTCCGATCGGCGGATGAGAGTAGCGTTGGTCCGAACACGATCGCGAGGTTTTGGATGTGCATCCGGTTACTGGAACTGTATTCTTTGACTCGGAGAAGGTGCTCAAGCAGAAACCGCAGCGTATCTCGATTGACTGGCGGCAGTTCCTTGAGAATGTTCTCGAATGTTTTCAATTTGATCTGACGCTCCTTAATCTGAGTTGCCTGAAGGAGCCGATCGAAGAGGTTGAAAGGTATGAGGGGCTCCTTCATTTCACGGAAGAACATCTTCAGTGCTCCTGTGAGTACGTGCACGTCTTCCTCTCTTTCGAGAGCGCTGTAATCGTCGATGTTGATGCTGAATCGAACTTTCTGAACCTGGGAGAGATTTCCCGAAGCTCGGTAGATGCCATCTGCCCGCATGTCCTTGTTCTCGATGGCGTCGATGCATCGAACGACGAATTTTGGCACCGTGCTGCGCTCCCGGTTACACAATGCGGCTAAGCTGCAGCCGAACACCGGTTCATCCTTCATAATTCCTGTGAATAGCATGAGATCGAGCGTCAGCGCACAGTGACTCGACCGGGTTACCCGGAGCGTGTCGGATTATGGGGTTTTCCATCATACGATTTGTAATAAGTATCTTGGCGGGCACTATGCATCACGTTTTCAGAGCCCCAATCTCCTATAGGGTACATGAGCTCACGATGCGGTATCACAGATCCTCTCCCGCGCGAATGGGAAAAGAGGTCCTTCCCTTGATTTCCGATCGACTCGGGAAAGAAAACGAACTTGCCTTTCTCTCTGAGCATTTCGGGAGTCGGCCTCCTCAAGAAAAACATCTTCAACCTGTCACCGATTCTTCGCTTGCGTTCGTTGGGACTCAGTGTGACGAGATCTGTCGTGGAACCTTTCTCAGATCCAGTTGCTTCTTGGAGTGCCGGGCCCCCTGAGATCGACCCCAAGCCCCCGCTTGATCCTACCGGCAACGTGTTTGACGGCCTAAGCAGTTTGATGGATTTAGATCGCAAAACTTTCTTGGACCGCTTCAACGTGTCTTTGGTTAGGGTACCTGTGGGGGAATGAGAAGTGTTCGGAGAAAGAGCTTCGAATCGATTTGCAGGGGGAGGACCGGACAGAGAGGGTAAAATATGCCGAGGGGAATCGGAGGAAATCTCGGGGACAAACTGCTCACCGACAGAGAAGTCCCTCGTGGTCGTTGAACATGCAGCACCACCGGGTGCTCTGCCTTGCGGCGTCCTAGCCTTGAGGATCTCGCCCGAGATGTCGTAGCCAAGCGGGAGATGGATGATGCATCCCTTGATGGACTCAAACCACTCCTTAGAAGTCAGGACATTATCATCTTGGAAGAGCATCTTCTGCCCTTGGACTGTGGAAACTTGGAAACAATTTTTTCTCTTCGACTTTTCGGGACACCACTCGATTAAAGCTCCGGGAAGAGCGAGTCGACTTTGGGCGCCTTCTCCTGGCGTGGGCTGCTGCCCGCTCTGAGCGTCTTTGTACACGAAGAGATTCTTCGACGTCAGGACCAGAAAGCAGCTAACCCAGTTCTTCTTCTGAACTTTCTTGCCCGCTTTCACCAGATCGGCTTTGTTCAATGTGCCCTAGAAAGGAAGAATCGGCATCTCAGCGTTCGGAATGTACTCAGGGGCGCACGGGAAGCCACGGACGATCATCTGACCGATAATCGGGAGTGCTAGAGCGATTGCACGGTGATCGAGCCTCACCTGTCGTTTGACCGTTTCCTCGATATCTCCAATGTTTGTGAGTTTCTGCACGTTGAGTACTTGCGTCCCTTGACCAGAAGGTAATCCATGGATGATGTCGACCGACTTAGATCTCCAATCGAGGTCCGACAAAATCATCGACCGAGTCTTAAGAGAACGCAGCGAATTCTGCAAGAGACACTCGCGTTCATTCTGGGATGTGGCGGCTTCACACGAACGAGCGTCACTCTTGCGATCGCTGAAAGCCCGCCGAAGTCTCGTCCACATTGTGGCTATCACGGATCAAATGAAGGATCGCAAAACTATCGTTTCTCCTCGCATTCCGCTTTGCACCACACTCCCGCGGACGGTCCCGGTGTGTACATGGTCTGGATTTTATCACGAGAAGCATCCACAACGAAAGATCTCAGAGAATTGGATTGGCATGCTCTCACAAATTCAACCGGTAACGTCATCGCACCGACTGGGACTGCGATATCAATCGGTACGCTCACAGGGTCCGGCCCGACATTTTACCGTGACGCCATGTAAACGACGAGTGTATTGCTTGTGGTCCAATCGGTGACTCAGAGTCGAACATGGGACAGGCATCGAAGGTTTTGACAGAGCAGAGGACCGCTACAATTCAAAATGGGAGAACGAACCGCGAGGAAATCCTCCCTTGGAGTGAGAACGGTCTCCACCTTATCCTCGAGGATCCCGCTCGGATTAAGTCTACGGCTGACAATAGGATCGAAAATATTTTGTTATTCCTTCGACGGGTATTTAGCATTCCGCTGACCAGCTGACTGACTCATCGGTCGCATAGCCGAGTCGGGAAGTGTCACTAATTTGAAATTACTTTGATATCTGTGACGGAGTGATGGAGGCACAGATTGATAGCGCTGCGAGCATGCATTCGAACACGTATGGCGGCACCGTGTAATGATGGACCACTGTTTTCCTTGTTGATTCGATGCGCGAATCAGAATAATGCGGGTAATCCGCGTAACCGGGTCAAAACAGTTTTTTATTCCGCTGACCACGGAGCACAAGCGGAAGGTTACGGAGTGAATTCGTCGTTCCGAAGCTACCAGTGGTATACTGTAGTCCAGGACAGATTAATTTGGTAGTAGACGACAAGCGTGAGGAGTACGGAATTCGGGAACCATGCCAAATCTAGAACAGTTATCTTACTGGAGCAAGTAGCTCTCCACGAGGATTCCTGCTAAAGACGGCACTTACTTGGGGAGTATTATCATCTGCAGTCCTCTGCTTGCTCCTGTTTGCCTCGGCAGCTATATTCGAATTGCTAAGGCTTGAGGTGACTGCTACCAGCTTCGGACCGGCGTTCTTCGGTGCCCCACCGGACGGCAAAGTTTTCGTTCTCAGTATCGACGTCTGTTCCGCTTCGTTAGAATGCCGCAGTACTGTTTTTGAACAATCGTCATCCAAGTTTTTCTGAAGGAGAGTTGAACAAAAAAATTATTCTTCGCCCGATGCTCCAGGTCTGGCGAGGACGTTCCACATCGAGAGCCGCATACGAAGCCTTTTGTCTTCGAGAACATTGCTCTAGGAGGGGATTGAATTCTTCGCTCCCATCTTCCTTCCGGATAGATAGGAGCGGCATGGACAAAGGTAACAGCTATCCCTCTGGACTCCGGGCCCGGGAGCAAGCACAGCTTCTTTCCACTGTTTTCCAAGAGCTGAAATAGTTCGGAGGATCCGCAACTGATCCGAATCGAGGAGTCCACTTAATCGATGACGCATGATCTCTCCACGTACGACACGGTACGTTCTACCCGATGATCGAAACGATTGGCTCCGATCGAGCAGTTCTTTCGCGAACAAAAAGACAGGCGAGCTTTACTACTCGAGGTCTTCCAAAGCAATAAGCGAGTATAGACACAGAATGCGACGACGAAACTCCAGAAAGAAACGAGAGACGACTCGACAAGAATCCGAAATCAGGGAGTTGCCTCTTCCAAGATTTCTACAAGCATAGTCGAAGCAGAGTATACAGCACATGAACGTCGTGCTGAGGTCATAACTCGCCTTTCGTCGCTGCGGAGGTCGCGGCGCCACCTTGTAACACAAATTAAGAATGCCCGTTAATTAGACTGAATGTTCGCGTCTATCTCCGTTCCGAAACAATGCCAAGAACGATTCTCGGCGCCGCCGCGCCTGAAGGGTGAGCGTGGAGCGTTTCGAACCAATCGAGAATCTTTCTCGAAAGCATTTGCTCCTCAGTCTCATATTCCAATAATGATGCTCTTGTTGTTTTCACTTAATTATTAGGCTCAAGTTCGCCCCGTTTGCCGCCAAGCACCGAGAGAAGAACGGCGATTCCGCAAGCAGCATGTTCTCTGATCATTCTGCCCGCCCTGGATGCTTCTCCATCTGAGATTGCAGAAGGAAAATCCTTCGGAAGAGCTGAACTGCGAACACTCTAGAGGGCGGGCGACGGGGCGGGAGCTTCGATCCGATCAATATATACAGTCGCCACGGTGTTCAAACTTGACCGACTTCGGAGTTCTCAGAAGGCTTCTCTAGCCGGGTCGACGTTGCGATTTCTGTGTGTTTTTCTGACTACTTCTGTACGTTCTGACAAATGCAAACCTTTTGTCTTTGAGGAGGTAATGGGACCACTTTCGGAAGCTCCCACGCTGTTCTTTGGGTTCCCTCTTGATAGAAGTATATTCTTCCGTCGCTGTCGTAACTGCTGCACCATTTTTCTTCGTTAAGATCGTTGACGAAATACATCGATCCACTTATGTCGTCGTAAACCTGCGGAAAGAATTCCCGTATTGTCAGGGATCCCCATCATCTCTCGACAACTATCCTTCGGACGAATCGTGGTCGGGAGAATCAGGAACCTGAACGGATCCCTCCCCGCCGGAACGTAGTCAGATCGCCCCACTTAATCACGACAAGGGTGACATCTCTCAATTCGTCCTGGCACTGATTTCTAGCAGCGAACCGAACGCGAACTCGTGAATAATTTACCACAAAGGAACTTCCAACACATGAGGCTCGGAGGAAGCACCCCCCGCAAATCACTCAGGAGTTCGCTATAGGATCAAAGAGCAGGGCGAACAACTCGCGGTCTACTCAGAATCGACCGATCTGGAGACTGAAGACAGCGCCGTCGATCGTATCGGCTTATAAGGATGGCCGGCCTTCTCCGTTGATGCATCGCTTTAGCTGAAGGCAGATAGCGGATGACCGGCGGATGTGGACAAATTAGCGTGGACCACGGCTTAGGCTACTAAGCGTGCGAGGCTCCCGGTCCATCCCGATTCGAGGCGTTCACGAGGTCACGGAACGGAAATCAGTAGCTCATACCGAAGCAGCGCCACGCTCTAGTAACGCTCATTGTCAAGAGACCCACTGACTCAGTGGCTATTTTTCGCAGTCCTCCGGAAAATCGAGCCGGTGCTTGAAATTCAGTCAAATGTTTCCAAGACCCCGGGCGGTCTAACAGACGAACTTTCACAACAGCATAGACCCGAGCTGTGCGGGCTATCGCGTTCATTCAGGGTCTTTAAAAAGCGCTATTAGACATTCGGTCACCCAAATTCGTGTCCATCTAACGGGCGCGGGGGGAATGAAAGCATCGGGGATCGTTTATTTTTCTCAAGATGAAGTCTAACACTTCTGCGAATGAGCTTGATTTCCTTTCTGGGCTTTCACGGTATATAAGCCCGTTAAACGCCTCATATTGGTTTTCACGCAAGAAAAACCCGAGTTCTCCGTTCACAATCCCGTTTCGACCCCTCCCCAGATACTAACCTTGCTCCAGCCCGGCACCGACATCTCAGTGGGACTGGGAGGTGGTGACGGCATGCCCTCCATCGAGCTGTCCAAACCCTCGACCGAATCCACAGACTGTGTGAGTCGTTGACTAGAATACTTCCTCCGGGTTCTCGGAGGTTTCCATGAGTGTTCTCCCGTTACATAATTATAGTAGTAGGGACGACCGCCTTCGGAGCGATATTCGCCCCAATGATCTGAGAGATATCTGAAAGACGGTTGGGTTTTCTCAGCAAGAACCTAGATGAAAAACACCAATCTCTAGGCTTCCGCGCAATTTCTGAGCGAAGCATAGCTCTGGAGCGACACAATGAGAGCATGCCGAATCCTTGGACCTTTTTCGCTCACCTGACGGGATCTTCGTTCGGAGACGGAAACGGTGGCGTCGTTGTTAAGGTATAATCAAGCCCTGCGTGATTTCCTCCGTGACGTCCATCCGGAGACGGAGGCTGAGGTATGTTTGCGTAAATCGGTTGTCCTTCACTGCGTGGCCTCGTCGACGAAGACACGACCGCGGAACGAGGAGCCGACCGAGGAGGCAACTGGATAGGGTTGAATTGGAAGCCAGTCGGAGAGCTCGAAACCAGATCGGTTTCATCTCCGTCGTCGAGATCAGATCTGCGACCGTGAAGAGAACAATGATTACTCAAGTGCAATCAGTCCCGACTCATTGCGAATTTCCAGTCCTGGGAGACCGCTCGAGTCACATAGAGTTTCCGAACACCGTACACTGAGAGGCACGCCCGGCCACCGGCCGGAACTCCGGCTCTGGCCGACATAGCTTGCTTACGTCGGACGGTCTCGTTTCCCAAACACGTTACGACAAAATATTTACTTTCACCGCTGATCTCCACAATACAACGAGGAAGGCATCCTCGTGAATCGCTTCGCAATCGAACTGGTTGACGACGAAACGATGAGCGCGTGATAGACGACCGATTTGCGAACGAGTTTAGCCTGCCATAATCCTCGCCGCCAGATTCGACGGTAAAATAGGCAACCAGCAGACACGAATAATTATCCATCTGTTTCGGTCCCGGTCGGAGACCCACTCGCAGCCATCGATTCCCCCGGAGTTTCCGAGACTTTCCCAGATCAGGGGAGAGTGACACGTGGAAGATGGCGAATGACATCGAAGCTGGGAACCAGCCGGAAACCGACCGGGAACCGTGTCTTGTGCACGTATCGTCATCGATTGTGTGTTCCACAAGTGACTCACCCAGTCTGCTGGTTTTCGATGAGAGAATCCTCGTCGCTCCGGGGCTCGCTGTCCTCATCAAGCAGTTCTCCCATTTTCTCTCGTCGATGCCGTAATGCCTCGTCGAGAGACATCCGGAATCTCCGTTCGAGTGCCTGGCCGAAACCGGGACCCGGACTCGGGCTGCTGTCCACATCGAGATCGTTGTCGTCTGCTGGGTGCACCTTCAAAATTAACTAGAATCATTAGTCGTCCGATCGTCGCTCCAATCCCCAAATAGGGAATACGAAAGCAGAACAGGATGGCCAATAAATCATACGGAACATTATCCGTTTTCCTCCGGGGAGAACACAGACAGAGGAACAGGTTCGGGCCGTGCGATTCTCAGCGAACTAGCTTGATGAGCAGGCGACCGCCCCGGCGCAGCGGGAGCCTTCCCCTTCTCATCGACAGCGGAGGAAAATAGAGATCTCTCCTCCCTCTTCACCTCGAAGTTCTTCGGCTCCGGAATGGATGATGCAAATGAAAAATCGCCAAACATACGCGGTATTTGGAAGTCAAGCAGAAGCAAGCTACACCCAAAAAGCAGGCATTCGGCAAAGATGTCACAAACAAAAGCAGGCACAGTCATCGTTTCCTTTCAACCATTTTCTGTTTTACTTTCTTTCCGACTTTATCGGCGTTGCGTCCGGGAACACGGATCGAAACCAGGTCTGAAACCCGCCCAACACCGTGTTCCCAGCGAGCACTAACCTCTAGACTAGCTTGAGCAAACAGCGTGTTTGGCGGACTTGAATGCGAGTGCTTGACTCCTGCCCTGTCTTGCACCCCCACGTCCTTAGTTTGTTGCTGGTGCTGTTGTGGCTTTTTCTGTTGTTGTTGTTGCTGTTGTTGTTTTATCACATCGGTTTGACTTGATTTGCCTCGAGTTTGTTGAAGCTTCAGGGAACTCCTCGGAGGTGGTTGTGGATGTTGGTGGGGATAATCTCTTTCGAGCGGCTCCGGAGGGGTGTCGTCGTCGAGGGTATCCTTCGAGCCCTTCGAATGGTCTCCCTCCTGGGAACTCTTCGGCGATTCCAACGACGACGCTCTCCGCTCAAGAGAATCCTGTCTCGAATAGTCCAGCTGCAAGCAGCATTCCCGAGTCATTCTCTCACTCGAGCTCACACTCCTTCCTCACGACTTCACTATCCATCCACCCGTGCCCTTCGAATAACGATCCTCATCATCGTGGTCACAATCCAAGCACCGAGCACAACTCGTATCGGGCACAGATCCCATCCACGACACCCTTCGACCTGACTGATATCAGGTCACTCGCGGGTTTTTCAATTCCGTAAACGAGTCGGCTCCTCGGAACTCGGACGGATCCGCCTCCAGCCGAGCACGGCAAGCGATTCCCTCAGCGATCGCTCAGATTCAACTCCTCTCGAGACACTCGGACGCGGTTGCGCTCCGAGGAGAGCTCGAAACTCGATCAGAAACTTCGGTGCGTGAGTGACGTTTCGGCTAAGCTGCCGCTGCTGATCCACACAGCCGGCTGGCCGACTCGCTAGCGGTCGCCGGTCGACGTCGGCGACGTCGTCCGCGAAACATTCGGGAAAGAGGAATGCACGGCAAGGGATCATCAGTACCAGCCCGTTAGCTAACGGATCTTTCTGCCAAGGACTGATTCTGGCTGGCTTGCTCGCTAGCTTGCTGGGCGGCTGGGCTGCCGGGCTGCCGGGCTGCCGGCAAACCCACTGTATCTCATTAACCACAAGTGGGAAAACGACACTCATCCGCCCGACAAGCGGAGCAACGAAGCCAAAACAAACTTATCAGATGGTAGCGACAGATGAGATTCGCTTCTTTGTTTCGTTGCCGTTGCATGTCTGGCTTTATATTTCAGACAAGTGAAAAAATTTCGCAACTCCCCAACGACCCTCAGAGAAGGGTGACGACTCCAGGTCTTTTGTCACGTCGCATAACGAAAGGGACAGCAGGGATACTCGATTCCTGAATGGGACTCCACTATTTAATAGACCCCGGATCCTTGATTGCATTTCAATATGCTGCGCATGACGAGACGAGTGATCCGAAACGGAAACGGCGGCGGCAGTCTCCCGACAGAATTTCTTTCCTGCCCCGTCCCAGCTAAATCCACGTGTCGAGGGCTCAATAGAAGACTACTCCGGACAATACTCAAAAAGATGTTCCAAGAGCTGTTTATTGTAAGGGGAATTATGTTGCAAGAAGTCGACTTGCTCGGCTGCCCGGCGAATGGAGCTACGGGACATCCTGCCTGCCTGCCTCTCTGCCCGCTTCCCTGAGCCACTCGACTGGAGCCTTCATTCTGGATGCGTCGGCTTCGCTCCGCTCCAGGTCAGCGCACCTCGACTTGCCGCCTTCACTCCGAGCAGCAGTCAGAAGCGGATCGATGAAACGAAACGCGCCCAGCGCTGCATCTGCAGCCGCTGTCAGTGGTGGTCGTTCCCAGTCTTCAGCAAAGCGACGTCATCGAGGGGGATTTCTCCTACCGGAAGGGCTCAGACCGAAGTCGCGATGATTCAAAGCACATCCCCTTCCCGCTCATCCACCCACACGCCGCCGGATGTCCCCGGTCCCTGTATCCAGCCAAGTGCTTGGCTGTCATCCTTTCTCGTGACACATAAGAAAACGTTTAGTACCTAAAGCATAGAAACATCATCAACACCGACTGAGTTTGTACCGAATGACTTTCGGTTTTCACAATAATTTCTCTCGGTAATCCACTAATGAAGGAGACGGAACGAACGGCTTTCTCACAGGAGGAAGACTTCTCCGGGCGGTCAAGCCGTTCGTTGAGGCGTAGTCCCCGATGAATGCGACGAGCTCAGATCACAACGATCATCATCATTGGAAAAGATATCCATTAGACACCGAGATCGAGGGGAAAACTCGTGGGTAGCAATCATTTGTTCGCTTTCCTTCCCTCTCTACGGAAACGACATCGATTCACGAGACACGAAGTGACATTGATACGCAGCATCAATCATGGCCGAATCGATCATTCACCAATAATGGCTCGACCGACGACAATGCTGACAGTTCCACAGGGATGAGATACTTTTCAAGCGGCTTTGGAATGTGCGGGCTCTAACGCTACGCGTATGGGACACATGGTGAGACGTCTACAGAAGGGACCCATCGATTTCAACAGCATGATCGTGTCTTCTACGCTGAAGCTAGGTGCGCTTAGAGGTTAGCGATCGTCGAGCATCCGATCGATCGACCGACCGATGATTAGGGATTCTGTTAACTGAGGGTTTCGTCGAATTCGCCAATCTTAGGCGGCCGTTGTACTCACCTCGAGATAGGCAGGTGGCGCGAACATGATTTTCCCGTCGTGGCAGCGACGGACCTTCCACCAGTCCTCGGAGTGAAATTCGAGCACTTCGAGGCTTTCTCCTTTGCTGAGTCGCACGGTATCCATCATACCGGGTTTTTGTTCGAGGTCGTAGCTCGTATCCACCATGACTCGGGCGTACATTCTCGGACCTTTGACCTCGTCGTCCGAGCGCTCCATTTTTTTTCTTCCGACGTTTTCAACTCCCGGTCCCTCGGATCCTCAATTCCGGGGGACTTGAGGAGTTACATTTTTTCTGACGAGACCATGGTGCGCGCAGGATGAGGAACAATCACGCACCGTCTGGAAAGGAAGAAAAGACATTTATGATTGAATTCATGTCGAGGAGTCGCCCCGATCCCACAAGGAAGAAGGACTGCCGGGAAGCATGCTCTGTATTCAGGCGCGAATGTCAATTTCTGGCATATTCCGGTGTCGCCCCCGAGACGTTTGTGCGTGGGGGTGGGTACAGGTGGAGAGGGACTCTGCTGAGAATTTCGAGTAAGCGAAGTCGTCATTCACCCCTAACACCCCTATCCGAATATCTACTCTGAATTTCAGAAATATCTCAGCCCCATAGGAGATGCACATCTTGGCCCCAGCGCTGAACTCAGTCTCGTTGGTAGTCGTGACCCCCTCCCACTTGAAAGACTTGGTCAGAAGTCCGCCGGCGTCCTCCCAGCTGCTGACAAAGCTGATGAAGAACTCTCTTCTCTGAACGAAAGAAAACTTCGTGATCGTTATTGCCGTCGCCGTCCAGCAGGTCCACCGTCGTCAATTCATGCGAATGGTCATCGCTGGTGCGGTGGCCTGGCTGTTCGTCCACAAAGTTTCTCGCTCGCCGGGTCGTCGAGTCGGAGTTCTAAAAGGGGTACCGCAAGCAAGGACTATAGGCTTTATTGAAAACCGAAACGATATCCGACGCGGACGTGACCGTAAGATGTCAGGACGTTTCGGATTTGATGTCTCCGAACAAACAGCGTCCAAGCGGTTGAGCTAAAAAGATTGTTTCCCACCGACGACGGGAGAGACAACAACTGTTTCTTGTCGTGTGATCTGTGTTGGTGTATTGTTTCGATGATGCGGATTTTTTTTATTGAATCACTCTCTTGGAATCGAGGAGCGAAGCTCGGGGATGAAACCGTCGTTGGCGACGACGTTTCCACAAGGGTTTATCTTGCATTTCGTCTTCCCTAGACAGCTCGCTTAGTATCAATGAGAGGAACATCGGTTGGCTACTCAAGCAGTGCGTTGACTTCGCTTCTCTATTCTCTTGATCTTTTTTCCGCCCGCCTCACATAGCCGAGTCAAGCCTCTCAACTAGCTCGCATCCGATCCGGTTAGCCGTCTGCAGCTTTCTATAAATCACCGACCGTGTCTTCAGTACTTTCAGCAACATCTTCGGCAGGAGGCAGCGTGTGTGCAAACAAACGAGGACGCCGCCGTTTATTCCCGCATATGTATGAATGACGGAAAAAGTAGGGAACTCCAGAGCTTCGTCAAGCAGTTTTGATCGAGCACAGTCACGTTGGATATGCCTTGATGCGCTGGCTTTCGGAGCGACACGAGCGATCGCGACTTCCCTCAACAAATAAAAACATCCAATCGCATGCAATTGCTGACACTGGCCGATCCCCATGCGGCGTCAACTCGCCAAAGACATTGGCCGACGATCAGCAGTGATCTGTCGGTCGGAGCAGCTGATCCTCCGGAGGTCTGGCGCGAAATTCCCGAAAACGATGCCGAGTCTAGTGCGCGCAACCGACGCCCTCTCCTCGAAGGGTAACTCTAGGGAGGGGGACCGAATATATCTCACGCTCCTGACTCTCAAGATGTTTTTACGGGATTCTCGGTATGAGGTTGTTCTATGGGGCATAAAGTTCTATTTTTCCTTGCTTGAGGAAAATCCGATTTGGAGAACCGAATAAAGCTCGAGGGATAATTCGTGGGGAGCGCGCTATCCAAAGAGAGCAGGCGGGCGGAATCATTTAGACCGAGATGTCACGGCGATGGTCCAGAATAAATTGAACGCTTGACCCCAAGAAGCCACAGCAGAGTTTCAGAATGAAGACAGCGACTTTCGGCGGTCCGGAGCGCCAGAAAAATGCCCGTTCCTTCACGAAGACGAGTCGTCAACGTCATCGGATGAGCTCACCTTTAGCGGCACGTGTGCGAGTCAACAAGAATCTAATCAGCCATCACATATCTAGGAGAGGAAAACGAACGCAACGTCGGTATCTAGTAGTGGGGGTCGTCGCTACGAAGTGTACCGAAGTTGCCAAAGGGCGAACCAAGGAATCCACCTACCATGAACCGCAGAAACATAGCGACAAACAAATAAACAAACCTGGCGAGAAAGCGCGCGCTATCGATTGACGGAGGAGAAATTGTGATTATATCAAGTTCACACAGCAGAAAATTCATTTGCAAGTCTGACGATGCACTGTACGGGCGTCACGTCACGGACAGCGTAGTACAATCCAGCCGTGTCGCCGAACGCATTATCCATCTCGGTGACCTAGCGCTTCGTGCGCTACTAACTCGAGCACCACCAACATCAACAACGATATCGACCATCGCATTGAACTCCCATGAAGGCTGTCCTTTGACGACATGAATGAACGTCCAATGCCTGATTAGTGAGGCGCTTCCACATCCGCCAGTATAGCGCAACGAGTGCATCTGATCGACGATCAGCGCGATCAGTTATTCAATCATACGCCCGAAAAACGCCTGATCCGACGAACAGGAGAGAAATTCATGGGTTCGGACTCACTTGCCTCTCCATGACCGTAATTCTCAAGCTAGATTCGAGGCAGTCTTCAAATCGCAGATTAGAAGAACTATCAGAGGCATGACGCGCTCTTGCGGAAGCCCACGGTCGAGCAACGACAATGGCGAATGATTTAAGATCCCTCTCATCTCATGAAGGATCTCCGTTTTGAGGCTAAGTAATTCTCTCGAGCTCTTCACGAATATCTCGAAAGTTGACATATGTCACGGCCTTCGTCTTCCATTAAATGCTGGCCTTACCCCGCTCGAATTTCAAATCAATTTCGGCGAGGCCATTGTTAAGCCGGTGTCTGACGTTCTGTCCATTGTGTTTCCCAAGGCGATTTCCGGGCTGTGCGGCTATCTGAATTTGATCCGACCCGGTGGTCATCTTCTCACCGGACGGACGACCGATCACATTGCTGAGCCACTGCGAGCTGAACGCCTAATTTCAAAAGCTAATTTTGTCAAATGAGTCATCGCAGACATTGAGTCGCCTCGGAGAGAGGAAACTCCCTAGCATAAACAGAGTCCGTCCGACTGACTATCTTCATGTTAAGGGTAGCAACTGGATAAAATTGGATCATGATTCAAATCCAAAGAATCAAGCTGTAACTGACACAGACTCCTTAGGGGATCAGGTTTTCGATTGCGATCCATCTTTCCCATGATGACGGCGGTTGCGAGAACAAATTTCTTCGGCAGTATCCCACGGATCCCAAAGTCTGCGGAATGCGAGACTTTCTCGCCGATCATTCCACTGCATCGATTGGAAATCACACTCCGGAATTCCGTCAACTGCCGAGACTTATTCGCGGAAAGATCCGCCGGTCTCTCGCGGCGATATAATACCCGATTATTCGAATGAGCGTGTACGATGGTCCGCCGGGCTGGGCCTCACGGCAATAATAATTTCGCCGTATGAGGTCGGAGGGGGATTCTCCGAACTCGCAGATATTCCGCGAAGCTAGAATAACGTTTCCAAGCCCGATTCTGTCTGAGAGCAAAACGGAACAAGCCGGCCGAAGGAGGATCTTGAAGTCAGGGGATGGCTCCCAGCCTGACGCAGTCTGCGCGCTCGATGGGCGGGTGTGAGCAGGCAGTGAGGCAAGCGAGCTGACGACCGCTTGCTTTCCTGGGGAACGTCAAAAGAGGGACCCAGTCCGTGAATCCCGTTGATCAGCGAAGCGTCAACCCAGCGGGTCAGGACGCTCGTCCGACGTCGCCGTAGCGGTGCCTACCGCCTCTGCCGCCACCGCAGCCATCGTCGAAGGCAGACCGAAATTCAGTCAGTCAGTCAGAATGAATCTGCTCGCCGCTTTTTGCTTGGTCGCTGTTGACACTTGAACACCCTCATTATTTATTCACGTTTTACCCTTTAGAGTTTTATCATCATTTCCTTGGAAAGTTCGTCTGTCTGCTCGTTCGCTCGATGCTGTTTGACAGCGGTAAACAGAGCGAACGTTCTCTTCTCCGATCCAATTTAGGCTCTTTTGTACGGAGCGAAATTCAAATGCTCAAAGTCATAGATTCGCGATGAATTTCAAAAGGAACACCATATGTCATGCATAGAAACAGCCCACCGCTCGACCGGTGTTGTGTTCCTTCTGAATGAGAAACACGGTGGGTACATCAAAGACTCTATCCGCACATTCTTGACAACCCAACTCTCCGGCCGGAGCAATCGAGCGTCAACAAAAAAGCGTCTGGACGTCTGGAGGAGTCAAAGATGGTTTCCGCTTGACCGAGGAGCACTGAATGGATGAGCACCTGATTCCTTGAATAGATATCAAGTCATGACTTAATGTCGTTTCCATTGAAGTCAATGACCGAACCGTTTCATTACCATTGGATGGACATGTTGAAATCTCGACTAGATGCTATTTGAAAGAGTTACGAATGACCGATTTTCGTCTCGGAGATCGAATATTCTCACGCTTCTGGAGCAGATGCATACAAGCTCCGATATGTCTCGAACGAGTGTCGTGGTTCGAGGGAGTTCGGATGCCCCTGCTCCTAGATGACGTGATGGTTTTTCAGTACGGTGTACTGACTAGCGGAGGAGTCGTGAGCCACCGAGAGGCCCCGAGTGAGGCTACCCCACCGGTAGCTTCGTTGCCAGCGGCAATATCCTTACGAATCACACAGCGGTCTTTCGGCCATCATGTTCGAAGTCTTCGAGCCACCTCGTATCTGGATTCTGTCGGACACCGGAATCACACGGATATCGGATCAAATTATGTCACGCGATTCGTTACATCGCTGCCGGGGGTCGCACCCGGAATCAGTATAAAGTAGCAACTCCACTAGCAGAACCGCGGAGCCGGACGACCACAAGTTGTCAAAGAGGCGGATCGCGGAGGCGTGTTGATGTTTATCCGAGAGTCGATCGATTTCCGAGATTTCTA